AAAGACACAGAAAATGGAATATTAGAAAATATTGAAAACTTAAAATGATTTAGTCTATCAGAAAATAAAGATTTCGATAACAAATTGATCAAACGAAGCTATATTCAGGGCCGTTTTAAGTACTTTTTGAGGGTCCTGACCTAATTTCTTTACAGGCATTTTACAGATACTGTTATAGAATAAATATATTAGTATTAAGCAGTGAGATGAGGCCCTAAGAAGGCAAGTCTTCGGCCCATGACCCGGTATGTCCGTAAGTTAATGCTACCAGGATATATTGTCTCTTGTTTCTATTTTCAAGTATGTTTAATATCATAACATGAAAGTATTATAAATAAAATTTTTAAAATTTGTGCTGTTCTTTTTTTTTTAATCGTATTTAATTAGCCTAAAGTAACTTACTAATTTATTATATTCACCATCATACAACAGAGAAATATTTATGATTGAATGCTTGATTAAATGCACATCCTGATATAACTAAAGATATAAAAAAATAAGAAGCATAATCAAATTAACTTTGCCTTTAATCTTACATGTTTCTTAAATTTGTTCATTTATTAAGTAGGCTATATTTGTTTGCATTATCATAAAATAAAAATTTTGAACCAAAAGAGTACTCGCGTGTGAAAATCTTAAGAAATATTCTTATAAAAACTTTTCTACGAGCCTCACACTTTGTGTCTTTACCGCACGTTGTTCTCCATATCTGTTTCTGCTTACCTGTTTTAATATAGGAAAGGGAAAGATTTGTCGGAGACCCTACCCCTGACATATGGTCACTGTTCAGTACCTTTCCTCTAGCGTTCCCTGCAGTCCACTCGCTTCTTTTCGTCCCTAGATTTACTCACCGTCCAGGGGGCCCCCACTTTGGAAACCACCGGCCCAGAGCATTCTAGTGGAACTTTCTCAGATCTTCCCATGCACACAGAGGCCAATCGCGTGCAGACTTGTTGGTTTACAGAAATGGAAAAAGAGAAGCGAGTAAATGTACTTGTTGAGGAAAGTTGTTTCGTAATTATCGAAATGAAAGACAATCATTTATCACTATTCATTTTTTAAAATATCTTAAATTTGATTTTTTTTGCGGAAGCTTAAGGCTGGTGTAACAGTAGGACTAGAAAATAAAAACGAACACCACGTTATTGCAAGAACAATAATGCTTTCTATCAAATTTTCTTGCAATAATTTATAAATATTGAAATGAACTACACTATATATCGCAACTATTCATGCAACAAACAACCCAAACAAATGTATACTTAAATAAGTCCGTAATATTCCTTTTGATTTCTCAAGCATTTCTTCGATCTCGTGAAATGCATTATATTCGGCAAAATTTTCTTACCACGCAAAAGTGAAATAATGAATCTTTATGAGAAACAATATCCATTTCATCTTTGCCTTGTTCAACCTCATCTTTCGTTTAACTATATCGCGTATTTCAATAAATACCGCAGTATAAAGCCCTGTTACCGTGCATTCTGGGCAATGTACTGTACCATGCGATTAATGATAACCCTGATAAACCTTCCCTAGAATAGTGTCCCTTGTGCGTACTTCTCTATAAATACTCCGACACAGTGTTCTTTTAAGCGAACACTTATCCCATGCACTGTTAAGCTAGGTTCAATGTATTTGATTTACTTATTTCAAGACACAATAGTACATTAAGAGTAGGCCAGGTCTAAGAAGTTATTTATAATCCTAGCTGTGGACTAATATAATTCATATTAGTCAATATTAATCGAATTATAAGGTATTTGAATGTAGGTTCTTCGTAGCGGTATCTTTTATCATTTAGTTATTTCTATGGGTTAAAATAATTTTTACAAATTCTTACTATCCCGCAGACACTAAGAGCTTTTAAAACAGGTCCATTATGGGTCCAGCCAGAACAACAATGGTATGAAGCCAGGATTGCAGTGGAGAGCTCGACGTTTCGGATTTTCAGAGAAGGCGATTGCTGATTTATGCACACCGACTGACTAGGTTATAAGATATTAATATTCTATATGCTATTTGATAGTGTACGAAAAAACATTTAAAAAAATTCTATTGATAAGCCCTTTTAGAGTAATCAAATTTTATAAATCACTAATGCACTAATGGGCATAGTTGGTTAAAAAAAAGTCAGAAATTAATATATTTTACAAATCTACATATTATTGCTGTATATACAGTACATAACTTACGTTTTAAAATTTTCCAAAATTTATTAAAATTACACAATAATAAAAAAAAAACAAGATGTAATTATTTTTAGATAAAACACAATAAGCATCCAAATTTAACTTTTACCAANCTTACAAAAACGGTATGTTATAATAAAAATAACGAATTAAGATAGTTCTGTACTGAAATAATTTCATAGAAAAGAAAGTTGGCCTGTATAAAATGTATCAAATTATTTAAAATTTTACATTTAAATAAAATTTAGTCTTTAAAATGCTTTGATAGCAGTAAGATTTGGGTGATAATTGACAATATTTATTGTATTTATGTAAGGCAGCAGTAATCTTTTATACATTTTATACATTTGAAATTTCAACAGATTTTATCATGAAGATTATTATTATTATTATTATAATTGTTATAACTAAAATAAAATTATAAATTTGTGACTAAGTGCTGTAAATATCTTCTTAATTATACTAAATTTGACATTAAATAAATATTGTTCTGAATATAAATCACATTTATAAGTTTTTAACATGTTAAACATTTTAACATTAATTTATTATAGCTGCATGTAAAATGAATATGAAATTTGTTTTATTTCGAGTATTTTGCACAATAAAAATTCTCAATACATAAGTTAGATTTAATTAAAAAACTGAGAACTTTTATACAAATAATTATATAATGGAAAAGAAATACTATAGATGCCAACTTTTTCATTCTGTGATATGACATTACAATAAATTGTTTTCAAACCAAAATTATATACAACAAATTCAATAAGCAAGTTTTTTTTTTAATATAATTTTTAAATAGCATTTTTTTTTTTGCTGAAAACAAATCATGTCAATATGAAATATTTATTATTGCAATTTCTATTAATTTAACAATTTCACAGTAAAGAACAGGTTGCAATTGCATTTTGCAAAATTTAGTAACTTTTGCATTTTGTTTATAAAATGTAAATATAAAACTATAAAAACTTCTTCTTTATCATTTATTTGTATAAACAAAAATCTTTTTCTTTATTATTTAAGTTATTTTTAACATATTTAAATCACTCCTCTTTTCACCTTTTATTTGGTAGCAATTATAAAATGTGATTGCACAATATTTCATCATAAATAGTTAAATGTTTGTATTATAACTGATAAAAATATAATACAAGAATTTTAAAAAGCCATTTACTTTCACCCAAACTGGAATGAGTAAAAATTACACCATCAACAATGAAATGATCAATGTTACCAACATGAGTTCTTATGATACTTCACAAATGACATGATTCTATATTTTGAGAAAATGATGAATAAAAACTAGACATTTATAATGCTATGTTTGTTGGTTGTACTTCAGCTTATGAAATTCTTCACCCGAAATGGATTTGTTGGGCAATCTATGAGAAAAAAATAATCATCATTATTATAATCTTTAAAGTAAAGTTAATAATAATAAATAATCTACCTCTATCTGATTTCNGCCTTTATTACAACCATAATTGAGGAATTATATGGAATAAGGTACTTAAGTGCATTTAGATAACTTCAATCTTTTTGCCGCTTATCGCCAAAGCCTGGGAATGTACTGGTTTTATAATGCTTGCTTTTTCAGTTACATGTTTTATTATGCATAACAAATAGTTTTATGAATATAAATATTCCCCTTGCTAAAATATGCACTTTATTCAAGTGTATTTAACACTCATTTCATAACAAGCCTCATGCAAAAAAACTTTTTTTTTTTTAAGAGTTCCTGAAAATATCAAAAATTTACTTAGGTATCTTTCCTTAGAATGCTTCAATTGTACTTCAATTTTGTGTAAATTGTATATTTGTAGATGTGGATGCAACTTTACCTTCATATCTGCTCTGGCCAAAATACTGTAGCTAGGATTCTATGGTATGCACCCCCCTTCCAATCATAGTTTTACTTTCACAATGCTCAAATCTTTAGACATTAAACTGTAACTAAAAGTAATAGTTTTTTTATTTTAAAATTATTCTATCCTAGGCATGATGACAAGAGTTAAGTAGAGGAGTCAAGAGACAGATATTGCTACGGCTTGAGAAAAAAATTTATATGGACCCCAAGTAAATAATTTATTTGAAAATTTGACTTTTTCATGGNTGCTGTAAATATCTTCTTAATTATACTAAATTTGACATTAAATAAATATTGTTCTGAATATAAATCACATTTATAAGTTTTTAACATGTTAAACATTTTAACATTAATTTATTATAGCTGCATGTAAAATGAATATGAAATTTGTTTTATTTCGAGTATTTTGCACAATAAAAATTCTCAATACATAAGTTAGATTTAATTAAAAAACTGAGAACTTTTATACAAATAATTATATAATGGAAAAGAAATACTATAGATGCCAACTTTTTCACTCTGTGATATGACATTACAATAAATTGTTTTCAAACCAAAATTATATACAACAAATTCAATAAGCAAGTTTTTTTTTTAATATAATTTTTAAATAGCATTTTTTTTTTTGCTGAAAACAAATCATGTCAATATGAAATATTTATTATTGCAATTTCTATTAATTTAACAATTTCACAGTAAAGAACAGGTTGCAATTGCATTTTGCAAAATTTAGTAACTTTTGCATTTTGTTTATAAAATGTAAATATAAAACTATAAAAACTTCTTCTTTATCATTTATTTGTATAAACAAAAATCTTTTTCTTTATTATTTAAGTTATTTTTAACATATTTAAATCACTCCTCTTTTCACCTTTTATTTGGTAGCAATTATAAAATGTGATTGCACAATATTTCATCATAAATAGTTAAATGTTTGTATTATAACTGATAAAAATATAATACAAGAATTTTAAAAAGCCATTTACTTTCACCCAAACTGGAATGAGTAAAAATTACACCATCAACAATGAAATGATCAATGTTACCAACATGAGTTCTTATGATACTTCACAAATGACATGATTCTATATTTTGAGAAAATGATGAATAAAAACTAGACATTTATAATGCTATGTTTGTTGGTTGTACTTCAGCTTATGAAATTCTTCACCCGAAATGGATTTGTTGGGCAATCTATGAGAAAAAAATAATCATCATTATTATAATCTTTAAAGTAAAGTTAATAATAATAAATAATCTACCTCTATAAGATTTCCATCAATTACATGATTAGATCCAGTTAAATAATATATTTAAACTTTTTTGAAAAATTTTTCAATATTTAATTTTCTATTTACAAAAAACAAAAAAACATTTTAAAATATCAACTCAAAACATAAAATAGGAAAACTTTGTAGAAGCAACAAATTGAGAAAATTATTACAAACACATTGCTATTTTGTTTTTCATTGAATTTCTAAAAAATTCAGGAAGAAATATTAATTTAAAATGTTAATATACATTTAATTTTTACGTGTCATATTTTAAAATCATCTTAAATGATATTTTAAATTAATAAATTAAAAGAAAAATTTTCTGGAATTTCTATGCTGACTTGTTTAATATAAAATTTACTGGTATCATTTTATACGTTTTATTTTATATTCATTTCAATTTAAAATTTAACAGTACATAAAAATGTTTATGTTATCGGATAGATACTATTCAAATAAATATCATTTTTATAAAAATAAAAATAAATTTATATTAAAATTTAATTTTAAATACAAAGTTGAAACATTTAAAAAACAATTATTATAGTTCAGAAATAATCTTATTATAGGTGTAGGATGACATGAAAGATTTTTTTAGATTCAGTAAATTCAGAATTCCAATCAATATAATAGAAATTGTTGATTGGAATTAGAAACAATTTCTGTCTTCATAGAAATTGGCCAACTCCTACTGCACATATACAATAATTTAGTGTGGAACACATACCAGCTTATACACCACAAAAAATTGCTAGAGTGGAAATAAATCCTTCATATAACTTGTATCACTGTATACCCCATATCTCCAAACAGTTGATGATGTGCAGTTTTAGAAGGTATCTCAAGCATTCCATTTTTATTCCATTTCTTTTGTTTTATTTATGCTAGCAGATCATTATGGATGAAATTATAATCAAGTTTCATTTATTTATATACACAGAATATTTGAGATGGAATTGCCTAAACTGCATTAAGTTTAAAATTATAAAATAAATAAATTATGAAACAGCTACTGTATAACTTCATTTGTTTTACTTATCATATGATAAAAAATATAATGTAAATTCCAAAATAACATTGAAAAAATTAAATAAAAAATTCTGATGTTTGTAATATTTAACACACTTTATGTTTGAAGAGACAAGGGTCAAGGTCAAGGCTAGTGTAGCCTTGAAAGGAGTGATTGCATTAATAGAGGTAGAGAAAATAATTGTTAAATAAAGAAATTATCATAATCATTGTTGATTTTATTAAGTTGCATGCAGATTTTACAATATCTAATGAGATGAATTCAAAAGTCTATTGCTTTTATTTGCTGTAAAGAACTAACATATGTTAAAATTAACAGTTAGTTTCTAAATAGTTCTCTCAGTCATTATATAAAGAAGTAGAAATACCTTTGGTAATTAATCAAAATTATTACATTTCTTACAAGTTAATGAAATGATCTATCTTTAGATTATATTATAATTTTTTCATTAATAATGTATAGCTGTAATATAGCTTGAAAATAATCCAGATGTTCAGTTTATCATATAATTCAAACTGTAGTCTGAAATAAAACCATGTCAAGAAATACAAACCTACAATATTTTTATGCACGTAACAAAAATTATACTAAATTTACAAAATTATTATGTATTTGCAATGAAAAATTCTTTAATATCAGTTTAATTAAATATAATAATCCTATATAAATAAATTACTAATTATTATTTATAAATTTTCTTAGACTTAATAGCAAATATATAACACTATTTAGAGGAAAAAATAGTTATCTGCCAAATAATTCATTCAAAATAATCTTGATAATTGTTATTTCTGGATCTTTTTTATATTTTGCTTCCAATTATCTTTAAGTCTTCCCTATTTATGATCAGATCAACTGATTTAGGTCTATACACCTAAATCAGTTGATCTGATCTCATCAATAGATCAACTATTTTTGTTCACATTCTCTAAACTATTCCTAACTTTTTCTAGCTCTTATACTAATTTTCTCTCTATCTTTACTAATCAAAACTACAATAATCTATATATAACATGCCTCACAATTCTTCTCAACACAGATATGATTAAAAAATAATCAAATTTTTATTCTATAATGTGTGTGTGTATATATATATATCAAGGTTATGGAAATGGTTGACCAATCCCAACTCTGACTCGGAATTTTAGAAAGTCCAATTTCTAACTTGGAATCTTCATCACTACCAAGTGAATCACCAGGCATTCCTATTGAAACAACTGAAAGTATCTTTTTTCCAACAGAGTTTTTCATTATCACATCATCTTCAACCACACATTGACAAACAAAATGTTTTCTATCTTTGGTTTATAATAAAATATTTAAAAAAAAACATTAGATTTAAAATGAGTTGTCTTAGCCATTTTATATGGATCTTTTTGACAATAAAAATTTAGAATTAGCTAAAACAGAATGTACAGTACTTCAACATAAATTTCTGAAAAGATGCAAAGAAAGATCATAAAACTAAAGAACAAATGATGCTAGAAGGATTAGGGAGCATAATTTTTAAAATCAAGATTTACACATTTTCCAGAACCATATATCCCATTGTTGAAACTCAAACAAAAAATTGATATTTTTGTATGGATCCTGAAAAAAATTAGACTCAATCCTTTTATCATCATTTGTTCCTCAGTTCCTCATGGAGTTGTCTAATTTGCATAAACCATGAAATAGGGAAATTATCATAAAATAAAATCTTGCCTTACAGGAGGTTCCTGTAATGCAAGATAGGAGATTAACACTCCTATTAATACCTTAATATAAAGTACATAAAAAAAAAGGAGTTGGAGTAATTTCATTTTTACCAGCTCCAACTCCTCTAGCAATGAATTTGTTTCCAACTTTGACTACACAGTCCTAATATATAGCTGTATATCTTAAAATTTAGATCTACTTATAACAAACTGAGATGACTTATAAGTAATATATTATCATCTAGCTACTATATAAAATGACACAAAATTATATCTCAGTAATATTAGATTTTTTGCTCTTGTTTAATTCTGAACAAATTAAGCTCCTTATCAAATTAATTCTTGGAAGTCGTCAAAGGAGTAAATAAAATTAATACATGAAATTGATAATACACTGATTTACTCTATTTCCTTTTAGTAGGCTATACTCTATGTTTAACACTCACTTTTTTCTTTAAATAAACAGTAAACTTAATTTTTAATTACAAGGGGGAACTCAAAAAAACGTGAATTCTCTTCTGGATGGATGACTCCTTCTAGTACAAGCTTTCCATGCTAGGTGAGTGTTCAATGAACCCATCCACATCAGTTTACTAGATGGCATTGTTGTGAACAGCTACATTTTGCAACAGTGAATTTTTTTTTTTTTTTTTGAGACTTTTTCCCTACATTTCCCTACGTGTTTCTTTGATGTGAAAGGGATTGTGCATTTGGAATTTGTTCTTCTGGGTCAAATACTTACTCAGAGTTTTTATCCGCAAGTTTTAAGAATGTTGCATCAAGATTTGCAGAATAAATATCCCAAGTTATGGCAAACAGGTAACTGGGTTTTCCACTACAACATTGCTCCTGTCCTTACCATACTGAGTGTTCAGCAGTTTTTGATCAAAAAAAGTATAACCCTTGTGCTTTACCCTCTCTATTCATCCAATCTCACTCAGTGAAAGTTTCTTATGCTCTCCTGGATGAAAAAAGTCCACAAAGAGAAAAGATTTTCCACTATAGAAGAGATGAAACAAAAAAATGGCAGGACTAAAGGTCATCAAAATTAATGAATTCAAAAACTATCTTGAGTGTTGGAAAAAAAATGGATAAGTGCATTGCATCAGATGGAGAGTGGATCCCTTCTCATACTAATGTTATACCATAATAAAAACTCATTTATTTAATCTATTATGAATCACAAAAAATAAACTTACTTGACCAGAATATGGTGTAGTTGCATATATTACATTTTGTTGTCCTGGTTGATCAGTACTTAACATATTTGCTGTTAACATTTTTGTAGCTGATTATAAAAAAATAATTTGTATTAAAATTTTCAGATATTCAAATTTATATAAATATTTTTTATTGTAATAAATACATTTTATAAAAAGAAGTTATGTAATAGTATCTTGAAATAACAGCATTTATATTGAAAAAGTAAAATATATCCACTGCCCAGTGGAACGATGCAAGTGAATAAAGTGTAACAGTTTTAAACAAATTAGTGTCAAAAAATACACAAAAGCAAAATTGCTAATTCATAATAATTATAATTTTTTTTTAATATGTATTTTTCAACATTGATCTGCTTAAAACTATTGTTTATGATATAACTTTTCAAAATATTTCTTTTAAATATTTTCTATTATAATATAGCAAAGTTTATATTATTATTTTAAATAATAAAAATAGTCAATATCTAACTATATCAGAAAATTAAAATTTAATATATAGGTTAATCAGACATGAAAGTCTAGTCACGCATATTGATAATGTGTCTATTCAGTTCCATGAAATGTCATCAGTGCCAGTGATAAAAAATATCATTGCCTTGAATTTGAAATATTCAAAAATGTCTGGTGCCTTCGGTATCTGATCAGTCTCATTTAAAATTTAAAATATCTCCAACAATATTTTTGATTTTTTCTGACACTGTTTTGCTTTGTGTAGTTGTCTACTTGTATATGTTATTATTTTCTATATTTTATATAAAAATGCTTTCCATGTATTGTGTGTTACATTAATAAAATAATTAAATAAACATTTTTACAAGTATATAAAAAATAAATATGATAAAATATAAAAATCAACAACAACAAGGAGTACAGTTCTAGGAGTACTATTTTTTTAAAATATAAAAATATTTAACTTTTCCAAACCAGATACCTAACTTTTGATTTCTGGAGTTTTTTCATCACTAGATAATTGCTGACAATTTTTGTTTACTATAGAAAACAAAAATGGATGACTAACAGCTTATTGAATTGATTTCATAAATATTCTTTCTGATTTACCACTTTTCTTCTGATATATTTTCTCGCCATCCAAAATTATGATAATTATTGCTAATTCTGTGTCTTTGAACTTTTGCCATCTTGAATATCACTAACATGACACTGATCACACAGCACAGATGTCTGTTTATCAGCAAGACATGCATGATTTGGACCAATCAAACTGATTGGCCACATGTCACTGACACAGAATTGACATGTCACCAAATGCATGAATAGACTTTTAAACAATATAAAAATAAATATAATAATTATAATCTTGTATATATGTCAGATGAATTTTTTATTTTTTCAAAATAAAATATAATTAAATATACTGTACAATTCCATAAAGCAATAATTAGAAACATGGAAATAATTTGAATAGCTGAGTCATATATTTATAGAGAAATGTTTCATATATATGTTATAAATATATATTAAGAAATTTATTATTTGTACTAATTGGAAATCACTTCTGACTACAGTCTTCCAGCCAAATAATTAAAATATATTATTACAACCATAATTGAGGAATTATATGGAATAAGGTACTTAAGTGCATTTAGATAACTTCAATCTTTTTGCCGCTTATCGCCAAAGCCTGGGAATGTACTGGTTTTATAATGCTTGCTTTTTCAGTTACATGTTTTATTATGCATAACAAATAGTTTTATGAATATAAATATTCCCCTTGCTAAAATATGCACTTTATTCAAGTGTATTTAACACTCATTTCATAACAAGCCTCATGCAAAAAAACTTTTTTTTTTTTAAGAGTTCCTGAAAATATCAAAAATTTACTTAGGTATCTTTCCTTAGAATGCTTCAATTGTACTTCAATTTTGTGTAAATTGTATATTTGTAGATGTGGATGCACTTTACCTTCATCATATCTGCTCTGGCCAAAATACTGTAGCTAGGCTTCAATGGTATGCACCCCCTTCCAATCTTAGTTTTACTTTCACAATGCTCAAATCTTTAGACATTAAACTGTAACTAAAAGTAATAGTTTTTTATTTTATTTTTTTTATTTTAAAATTATTCTATCCTAGGCATGATGACAAGTATTAAGTAGAGGAGTCAAGAGACAGATACTGCTGGGGCTGGAGAAAAAAAATTTATAATGGACCCCAAAGTAAATAATTTATTTGAAAATTTAACTTTTTCATGGATATATTACTTTTTACAAAATAAATAATAATAGTTATTTATGTAATGTGCAAAATTTCAAGATTTTATATAAAATGGTTGCTGAAATATAAGCAATTGAAAAGTACAAAAATTGCCAAAAAAAGCTGTATTTTCTCCTCCTCTTTTTTCTTCATCCTCCACAGCCCAGAGAATGCTCAGAGAAAAAAACTAGGAAGTTTGAATTTAAACTTAAGCTTTTCTCATTATCAGTGAGGTGCTGCAAAACTTCTGGGTCAATAGATCAAAGTTTACAGGAGTTTGCCCATAGAGCTAATTCAGATTTACAGTCTAATTTTATGCTTATAAGGATAAAATTGCATGGGAACAAATGAATTGTATTCAAAATGTTACTCAGAATTACAAAAGCTCAAATTTATGTAGATTAAAACTTTTTATAATGATTTTTCTAAACAGTGTATCAAAAGTGTCAGTCAGCAGCACATTCGATTGGATGTGTTTGGTTGATGCTGACCAAAATGAATATTGAAAGCATTTGATTAATAGTGTATTTGGTGGGCAATTCTCTCAGTCAGCAGTTGCCAACCAGTCTTATGCCTCGACATAATAATACAATTATTAAACAAAAATATGGTGAAAATTTTTATTAGCAGTTTTTCTTTGATAAAGATAAGCTTGGCAGTTGAAAGTGGTACCCACAAAATTTTTATCTGCATTTACCTTACATTTTGCCTTTAAGCATCAAGCTTATCTTTACAAAAAAAAAAAAAAAACTACTAAGAAAAATTTTGACTGTCTAAATTGTCAAAGTTTTACTTGGCAAAATTTTTTTACATCTCAGATGTTTTTATTTGCATTTTTTTATACTTGGAAAGTCTTGAAATAGTGAAAATATTTAAATGATTGTATTTACTAAACTATAATACATGCATGTACTGTACAGATGTTTGAAATATGCACTTCACCCACCTTTCAATAGTCACACAATGATTACAACTAAATTTAAAAATGATTTTTTGAAAATAAATTGGATTTTTACAAGCAAAAATTCAGTTGTATTTACAATTGTCTGTCTTTGTTATCAAGTAGTATGGAGGAGTGTTTCTTAACCAAGGAAAACAGGTCAAAAACCAACAATTGGGGATCTAGAGCAAACTCTAGGGGGTCACAGTCAGAATAATACATAAAATTACAATCCACTTGCAATGAACTTTATTCACCATTTACACTTTCATAAATTTACATAAACTTAAAAACTCTTGCATACATAAGCCAAGTGCTATAAATAATTCCTTTTGTAAATAAACAAGTTCATTCCAATAACTTACTACCTTGGATTTCATTAGTTTGGAATGCATAGCTATGCAAATATTGCAACTGCTTGGCAACACATTGAAATTAAGTTTGTTCAGAAATGCTTTTTGGAGAATTTTCTAGAATCTCTGTTTTCTTATGTCACACATCTTGCATATAAAAGACAAGACACCTTTAGCTGTTCATATTAATGTCTGTGAAAAATGGTGAGATATAAGGCAGTATCAAATAGAACCAATCAGAAAAATTATTATCCAGAAGTATAAAGGAGGAGTCTCAATGCATTATCCCGTGGGATGTGCAGATATCTCAGTCTGCAGTCAAGGAAATCAAAATGTTTGAGAAAGAGGAAACACTCATCCAACATCCAAACCCATTAGTTATATATTAAAGCCAAATAATTGATGAATTGTATCAGGCTATATTATTATTATTATTATTATTATTAACTAACTGCTAACTGCAAGAGTTGCAGGTTCAATTCCTGCTTTGAGTTGATTTTTTTCTTCTAGGACCTTCGAAATTATTAAATTTAGCAATAGATGGCACCTAATGACTGCCTCTAGTGCCAAATTACTTAGCAGTTAACAATAATACTAGTAATATAGCCCAATATAATTTGGCTATTTTTGGACTTAAGTTTTTGTAATAAGAAAGAAAAACAAAGTATAGCCTAAAACTACAATATTTCTAATTCAATAGAGCATCTGTCTTATTAATTATTAAGTGAAAGACAAGTTTTGTGTTAAAAAAATGATTTAGTAAAGTCTGCTTTAGAAGTATTGAAGACAAAATTTAAGATAGTATTTGTAAGCAGTTATTTATTGTGACATTGTCACAATACCAGACTGCAATTTTTAATCATCATTTAATTTAAAAAAACATATGAATTCTAGTCCAAACCAGAAATTCATGTATAGTTAATCTGGGTCTCCTGCCCCTAAGTTTTCCATATTTGGTCTGGATTTTAGTGTGTCTTGTCTCTGTACATCATATTTCTGCAGATAATAATAGTCATGCTAGTCATCTATCTAACTCTGTACTCAAAAAAATTTTGAATTGAAATCATACAACTTCTGGTTTAGACCAGAAGTTTGTATACAGTTAAGTGGGGCTTCCAGCCCCTAAGCTTTCCAGATCTGATCTCGATTTTTGTATATCTAACTCTGTTCTGGAGATTAACAAAAGACAGACAGATGACAGAAGGCAACAGGTTGGGCTGCAATTTTCGAAAAGTATATTTGAAAATTGCAGCCCAACGTGTNTGATTATAGTTCAGAAATAATCTTATTATAGGTGTAGGATGACATGAAAGATTTTTTTAGATTCAGTAAATTCAGAATTCCAATCAATATAATAGAAATTGTTGATTGGAATTAGAAACAATTTCTGTCTTCATAGAAATTGGCCAACTCCTACTGCACATATACAATAATTTAGTGTGGAACACATACCAGCTTATACACCACAAAAAATTGCTAGAGTGGAAATAAATCCTTCATATAACTTGTATCACTGTATACTCCATATCTCCAAACAGTTGATGATGTGCAATTTTAGAAG